TTTTCACTCTCAAAAGTGGTGATAATCCAGCCTTCTTTTGAAACCGTATACCAGGGTTTGGGGCATTGAGAGCAAGTGGATTACCACCGGGGACAAAAGCGCTCCACCACCGCAGTGATGAGCCACAAAGCACCGTTGCATGCTAATCTGGCCCCTATTGAAAAGAGGTCAGCAGTGCACTGAGCCAGGTTCATGAATAAAAGACATTTATACAACACTGTACAATCTGGGCACTGTTTACAAGGCTGCAGGCCTGGCTGAAATACTTGGGCGTCAATGAAGGTCACCTGTCAACTTAGAGTAGTGCCTAAAGATTACTTCGTGTGGCTATAAATGACCGTTAAATGAAATGATGAATTTTTGAAGGATTTTGAAAACGGAAAAAATGACAGTCATGCCGGCCCAGCATCATCAACATTGAAAAATGCCCCGGCATGAAGTGGTTAATGTCCAAAACTCAATTAATTTGCTAAAATACAAGGTGAAATAATTTGTTATACAGGTGCATGTAGTTGGTTTGGATAGTAGGTGAAATTTCTTTTAATGCAGTGCTGTTTCAAGTACAGCTGTGAAAATATTGTTTTTGAAACTGATTGCATGAATGATTTTAGTTTTTTGTTTCCTTCTGAAGGCATTACGTTAGTTGCCATTGATGAAGCCCACTGTGTTTCACAGTGGGGTCATGACTTCAGATCATGCTACAGAGCCCTGGGAAAATTGAGAACAGTCCTGTCTGAGGTAAATAAGAATTCTGTTGCACAGACTGCTTCCAGAACTAGCATCTAGAGCTCAAATTACTGCCCTATTTATGAGTCAAGTGTCATATTGCCTCATTGCCAAAAAAGTAATATTACAAACATACCGTAGTTTCATCTCTCTTTTTACAATTGGTACAAGGTTCCATTTATGGCATTGACAGCTACTGCAACCCCTCCTGTCTGCAAGGACATTTGCACAACCTTGAGACTGAAGAACCCTCTAGTCACATGCACAAGCTTTGATCGTCCAAATCTCTACCTGGAAGTTCGTCTGAAGAGTGGTATCAGGTCTGACCTGCAGTCACTCATGGTGGAAACTCACAAGTGAGTAGTTCACGCATGGTGCCTTAACCTCTCCCCATTGATTGAAAATGGTCTTGACTACCACCAGAAATACTAATATTTACTATTTAGGTGTAATTTTTAAGATTTTTCTCTCCAATTACGATTTTACTCGGAGAATTTTGTGAATAAAGTATAAACATTTGTTTTAACTCCTGTTGCTTCATATAACATGTACCATAAATACGTAGTTTGGTATCAGTCTATAGGTTGTGCAAGTGTAGGGCCCAAACAGCACAAGTTATGTTATCAATCTGTCTGTAGCAGTGTCAGAAATGGGCTAACAGAGCTCTGTGCAATGGATTCGGGTACATCGCTTGATTGTGCACAATCTAGCGCCTATTAAAAGAGCCTCTGGTGTCCGTGGGCAGTGCATCAACAATGTATGTTCGATTGGAAACCAGCCAACCATGCAGTCATCCTGGCACGCGATATGGACATGAAATGGGCTCGACATATACTGTACATTATACACCTGTTTATGATATAGTTAGGTGTTTCTACTGTTATTCAACATTTATGCACCAGAAAACATAACAGTCTCCTAAAAATGACGGAGAATTTTCATCAGAAATTTAAGGAGTACAGCAAAAAGTGGAACTTTATTGTAAACTCAGGTCGTGGTGAAAAATTTGCATTCACTCTCCTACATGTGCCGGTGCGACATTAACATTGCCCTTGACAGAGCCTACATGTAAGTAGGCTATCACATTGACAAGTGCAGTAAAACAAATTGAATTTTCATCTTTAACAGGTATGTGTTCATATGCAGTTGCTGTAATATCCAAATTTCCTTTGTGCCTTCTTTTATTCTCTAAAACTTGATCAACTGTAGTGCACCTCTAGTACCACAATGCATTGCTGCTCTACCGCCTTGTCTGTCCAGCGCCAGTGATAATGGATCTGTTTTATGGCATTTCAAATTTTCAAGTTGCTGTTCTCACTCCACTTTCCTGTGGTAACCTGATCAACTGTAACATAACAATAAACTGAAGTTCTTGTACATACACATATCGCCTGTCTGTGTATGCTATTTGCCATTTTTGTGTGACATTTTTCTCTTTCTTGCCTTGTGCATTCCTTCCAGGTTGCTGATGTTGATTCGAAGTAGCTGTATACCACCTATTTATATTATATAGGGTCAACCAGGTGACCTGAGACAGTTGAGGGCTTAAAGTATTTAGTGGTCCTCAATCTTCCTCCCAGAGGAAGGGCAGAACCGGCAATAGTAAACAACTACACACAGAAGACTAAGCTTCAATAGGTGCGGTTAGAATGCTCAGCTCCCCCTGCTACCGGAACAATGAGGTCTATTGAGGCCACATTCCAGAAGTGCCTAATGATGAACACCACACTATACTGGCATGGTCACAGGGGCTTGTGGAGGGATAGCCCCACGCTAGCCATGCTGACCCCCTCACACAACGAGCCACTGCCTTTAGACCCCCTTTCAATGGGGGCACCCAGGCATGAATCAAGCACTGCACCTTCCTGGTCTGCTCCCCCATTGACACCCGGGACGACCCCAGTGAATATAATGCCAGGCCACACAGACCGCAACATGGACAACAGAGCCCACCGGCGTGCTATGCTGCTGAGTCATCTGCCTCCCTCTACCCAGTCCATCCAAGGCAAATACCACCCTACAGTATGGGTCATGGACGCAGGTACAGCCCCCACCACAACCTGGATCCCTGGCGCAATGTCAGCCATGATGCTACATGTACATGCACCTGGACTATTCGCAAACCAAACAGTTTGTGTCCTCTGAAGATGAAGACATCAGCTTCGCAGCCAGCTTTACACCCTCGCAGAGACTCCTGAACCAGATTCTGCATCTGCCCTCTGCTACTACACCAGAGGAGACCTTGCCTCACGTCTCCTTCAAGCGTGAATCTGCCAGACTGGAGGTGTCAACTTCACTCTTTCTGGAGCTACTGCTGGACTGTGTGTGTGTTGAGTGTTTAAAGCTCTCAAAGTGATGGTGAGGAAAAGAACAAGGCTTACTTTGAGTTCACCCTCATGAAGCTTGACAAAGCCTCACGGCAATATCTCCGACGCACTGCATTCCTGTCACTTCTATCAGAGTACCTGGCATGTACCTGTGAAGAAGACTTGCTGTCACCCCAGATTTAATGGCCATCGCACTCCAGGCCCTCGATGAGAACATAAAAAGTATTTTTGAACAGTTTGCCACAACTCTGCAGTTTCTACATCTCCTTGAATATTCAGTGCACTTGAAGCCATGAATATCCCCTACAAAGGAGTCAAGGTCCCCCACTCTGTAGCAAGGACCTCTTTGCCTGGGAATTCATGGAGATGATGGAGGCCAAGGCTGGGTGGACTGACACTGCCCACTAGCTTAGCTTTTACGAAACACCCCCTCCACCACCACCGTGTCAGTACCGAGCTGACGACCACTGAGCCCAACACCCCAGCTAGCTCCACGACACAGGGACTCTGGCTCCTTTTGGTCCTTCTGTCCACCCATACAGCACACCAGTCACAGACTCCCTCTTCTCAACCTGCAAGATCATCGCGGAATGGGTGCAGTGGAAGAGCAGCCGACCCTGCTACCCTCGATTATTTGGGGACCGGTGCTGATGACGACATAGATTCATCTGGGGCTGTCGGGGGGGGCTGCCTGCAATCTTTTGCATGGCTCTGGAGAGACATTTCCTTGGACAGATTGGTGCTTGTTACCGTCTGCCTTGGGTATTCTCTGGAAATCATGAGCACCCCTCCATCCTTCGCTCAACTCCAATTCCTCTTCAGAAAAACAAATGAGAGGTGCTGGACTTCAAAATAGATGCTATCCTTCAAAAACAAGCCATCCGCCCTATCCCTGCAACACTCAGGACCGAGGGCTTCTTCATCACATTCTTCCTTATGCCGAAGAAAGAAATGGCAAATGGAGACCCATGATTAACGTGAAACTGCAGAAAAAATTTATCCTCCCGAAGAAATTCTGCATGGAAACACTCTGTACGATAACCCAGTTGTTACCAATCCCGGCCTGGGCATCATTGATAGATCTGAAAGATGCCTATCTGCACATCCCAATCCATCCACAAGACTGCAAGTTTCTTCACATCATTTATAACAATGATGTTCGAGTTCACAGTCCTTCCCTTGGGCCTCTCGACAGCACCCAGGTGCTTCACCCAAGTAGCAAAGATCATTGCTGCTTATCTCTGAAAACATCATGCTGTTCCATTACCTAAACAACTGGCTCATTGTCGGCAGAACCCAATAACTTTATAGAATGCGTGAGCCTCTTCATATCAACCCATCTGTTATTGGTTACGCCTCCTCAATCTGATGGCCAGTATGGTATACCTGGTTCCCCTCTTTCAACTATGCGTAAGGCCAATACAACTCAATCTGCTAGCGTCCTCTGACCAAAGTGTGACCTGATCATGCTTCCTGTCCCTATCACAGACTTCGTTCTCCCTCACCTTCAGTAGTGGTTGACGAGAAATCACCACTTCCCCAGGGCAACACCAAGAGGTAACAATAACCACAGACATGTTCCACCTTAGATGGGGAGCCTCCCTGCTCCCGACAGACATCGGGAATATGGGAAACTCCTGAGGAGCTGTATCAATGTGCTAGAACTCCAAGCAGCATTCAACGCACTGCAGTACTTCCAATTAATGGAAGCATAATGGTCAAACACATCCTTACACACTCGGACAGTACAGTAGTGGCTTATATAAACCATCTAGGGGGCACTTACAGTACCGCTCAGAAATATAGGACCTTGTCGGGATCGATTTACTGCGAAGAATTCTTTGCAAATTGGGTACAATTTCAAAAGTAATACTTGTCCAGGGAGTCCTTTCTTTCGCGAAGGTAAAGGCCGATTCGTGAAGGCTCTGCTGAGAGATGACTCTGACAAGAAATGAAGTCTGGTTTGGACTCTCAAGTGGTGTCTTGCCAGGACCAAGCGTCACCAGGAATCTAGTTCCTGGCTCTTCATCACTACGAAAAAACCCTTTCACCTGGCGTCAAAGGACACAAGTGCCCGATGGATGGTCTTGGCTATTATCTTCGCTAACCGAGGCTGGCTGGCACAACATGATGAGACGACACGATCTCAAGTCAGGGCCCACGATGTTCAGGCCGCCTCAGTATCCTGGTCATACCTGGTATCCTGGAGTTCCTCCAGCGGAAATCTGCCAGACGGCCAGCTGGAGATCTCCCTCCACCTTTACTGAGTGTTACCTTAAGGATGTTCAGCAGAGCCAAACAGTCCATGGCATGCGCTCGGCAGTCCGGACAATGTCCAGCACTGTTCCGGGCCAGACGGTGGATACTTCAACCTAAGGTTTTTTCTTGTGAGTGTTTGCTCTGTCAACGCCTGCCTTATGTTTCCATTAGTAACTACACTCCCGTTGCTGACCCACCTCCAGGATAAAGTGCCACTCTGCATATGGCAGGTTCCTCAAAATATGGACTATTATATAATGTTCAGCTTTGGGGGTCCATCTTTCCTGAAGTGAACAGTAGTGAATTAATTCTCGATGTCTGATGTAATGAGGGAAGTCATGGTTGACATCTGGAACAATAATTTTCAACTTAATTGGAGTTAATTAATTAAAGTCTCGAACATCAGAATTCTGGACGGATGTGAACAACCTGTTGAAATCCTTGCCAATGAAATTTACCAAGGAGTAATAATCCTCGCGGTTATTTTACCCAGATTTATATGTGGTGACAGGTGATAGTATTTACACTTATTAAAACAATAATCAGGAAATTAAAAATACCTCTCACAATTAATTGGGTCCTGAAGTCGGCAGTCGTGAACGTCATTCAATTTTGTCATTAGTGTCACAAAAATTGACTTCAAAAACCAGTGAGTAAAATCTAACTATGTACAACACAAGCTTTGAAAAAAGTGCAAAAAAGCACCGCCAAACAATCATCCTTTTATGCCTGGATCGATCACATTTTCTTCAAGTACGTTTCCGAAAACTGCAGTCCAAAATACTTATTGTAGCAATTTTGCGGCTTCCTTCATTCTCTTGTGGTGCCGTTAGAGAAACGTTTTGCTGCATCATGGCCTGTTTGACCTTTGACATCAACCCAAATAGTGTGCCCTCTTTTTCATTCAATATTCACAAGCCCCTCCACGGAATGGTGATTTTTCTCTTCCGACAAAGGTTTCTTGAAAAAAAATCGGTCATTCAGAATGATGCTAAAAAAAAATGACATCCTAGACATAAAATATCATTCATGACGAAAATCTAATGCTCAGGGTTATTAATTTTAATTTAATTTTCGGCGGGGATATCTCCAAAATAAGCGGCAAAATAAACATCGCTCATGGAATTTCAAGCACTACATGTGGCAGCGTTTTCAGCATTCTTGTATGTCATGCATTTTTTGTCAAAATTTTCGAACATCATCGAAATTCTGTCCAGTATAATGTTTACAACAAACATATTGTACTTATTATAAATTTTTAATGCAGCAAACTTTAAGATTATTTTCGGTGACCTGGCAGATATGCTGGTATAGTGGGAGTTGTTATAAATGGTAAGAGAATGAAGAGAAACTTTCTTATTTTCGGTCAATTTTGTGGTCTATTTTTCATGGCTTATATTTTTAAAAGTTATTTCTTAGGTGCTTTAAAATACATCTGTTAAAAAATATACTGAATTCTCCTTCTTGTTGAGAGAAGTCTTGAAATCAAGTCCTCTGGTGTAAACACTTTGTTGTAAAACTTTAAATGAATTCAACTCCATTTGATTTGCACTGGTAGCCAACCAAATGTCCACAAAATGTACACATTATGCCTAATTATCCCCAAATAATCATTTTATAAATCTGAAGGTGCTAATTTGTATTTTACATGATAGAGGTCACTCTTTTAGACGTTTTGAAAAGTGATATCCAGAGTTGCATTTTGGTGCAATTTATGAAGAACATGCCACATGAAGGCTGGGCAGGAGTATGTGAATGTAGGAGACTCCTCTCCCACATTAGTGTGGGTCGGGTCTTCTCGTGATACTTACCTCTGTCCTGCCGCTGCTGCCCGTCCTACCCTACTTTGGCTCCAGTGGTTTTCACCACTTCAAAAAGGACAAAGAACATGGCAGCGGGAGCGCAGTGCATTGTGGAGGGTCAAGGGGCAGTGTGCATAATCAAGTCTTTTCAGTGAATTATAATAGGCACATGGGAAATTTGCATATGTAGTCTGGGCAGAGGGAAGTATCACTAGGAGACTTAACCCACACTGATGTTGGAGAGGAATATGGTATAGGTCTGTGCGTTCTGTAAGTTAGAGAAATGTCTGATTTTATTTTCATTTTCTGTTGTGACATTATTGTGTTGGAATTTCTAGGTTTTACTATGAGTTTGATGGACCGACCATTGTGTACTGTCCCACAAAGAAAGCTACAGAACAAGTCGGGGCTGTACTCAAAGGTAATTGAAATCAGCAGAAATCTGTCTTGTAGGTCTCAAAATCTAATAGAAATGAAAGTTTGCTATCAAGTGAGACATTTTAATCCACGTAAGATGGAAACCTTAATGATAAGGTCCTGTTGGAAAAAACAGAAGTCAGATATGCTTCTATAGGATTCTATCTGAAATTCCCAAAAGTAAGTTTGTTTCATATGTCTTCCAGAGGATCCAAAATGAAAACACTGTCCCTCATTTCTTGTATAAAGCATGCAGACCTGATGAGATTACATTGTCAATAGGGTTGATTTGAGCCAATTTATCTATTTTGTTCTTGCCACTGCCAGAGTTTATAAACGCCTCTCAGTTACGAGATGTGGATTTTCTTGCAGACATGGGTGTGAAAGCATGTATATACCATGCTGGACTGACTCCACAAAAGCGAAAGGATGCCCACCACAAGTTTGTCAGGGATGAATTACAGGTGAACTCAACTTTTTCTTCTTTAAAAGCCCTTGCTCTCAGACAGGCCATTTACTTAGTACTAAAAGTTTTGAAGGCAAACTCAAATCTTTTCACATTTCAGCTTTTACTAATATTAATCCACAGGTATGTTTCATGATGGGGTTGTCATTAAAATGAAGTTGACATTGTATACGTTTTGAAAGAATGAATTTCAATAAATTGGCCTGGGCTGACATATGACTAATGTTGAGGAGTAGGCAAAAGGGGATTGAGGACCACACCATTTTCCTCTCGGTACCTACCCAGCAAAATTTGTTAAAATTTAAAAATGTAAAAATGTAAAAAAAAAACACCCTGTTCAAATTGTTCAAAACTCAAGTACTCTATAGTGTACTGTATACTCTATGCCCACCGTACAGTGTTTTAGTTCAATTCTTTCATTTCAGCTGTGATTTTGAAGAGAAAAAAATTTTGAAAAAAAAAGAAGAAAAGGGCATTGTAATTTCGTAAATCAGAGAAGGAAAAGAAAAGAAACGACAAGAGTTGCCTGAGCAAAAGACCTTGAAAAGAAGAAAATCAGTTGCTTTCTTACAAATTTTATTATCACTGGGGAAGGAAACTTTTTAAGAATTGTGTTCTATTGGGATGGTTCAAATAATAGTCTTCAGATGCAAAAAGTGGAAGGAAAAAACTAGGAAGAAAAAAAATTTAGGCTGTTCATAAATAAAGTTGACTGACAAAGGGGTAAATAACAGAAGATACTAATATTTGATAATAAAATTTTGAACACGAACACTCCACTTAAGACTAAGAACGGAACTACATGTAGGTACCGGTACTAGCACAAATCAAGCCCTGCTTACAGAGCACAATATGTACAGAAAAAAATGGAAGTATCTAATATATATTGTACAATCCAACAGGGCTGGCATATACTCAACAGTGGTCACTGCCAAGTCAGCCTCGGCATGTGTAAACAATAAACATAAACAGTCATTTAATACCAGCAGCGCATCAGTTAGTTACTCATAAAACAATATTAAAAATAATGGGTTAATAGAAAATGAGATTAAAAGATGCAATGCAACCAAGGAACAAGTAGGCAAAAGGGGGATTGAGGACCACATCATTTTCCTCTGGGTTCCTGCCTAGCAAAATTTGTTCAAATTTTTAAAAATAAAAATGTAAAAAGTCAAAGACCCTGGGTACCTACCCACCTAACTTTTTCAAAAATCAACCAAATCGATACCTGTTTTATCCCCTTATAAACCCCTCCCTGCTCTAGGTCTCAAGAAAACTCAAAACAACCCCAATTACCGCATAGAACATTTAAATGGACTCCAGGTAAGGAGGAGCGTTTGCTTTGCTGTAAATTTTTTTTTATTTGGGCGGCGATTCAAAATATAACCCCTGGCATCACCGAGAGACCACAACCTGAGCAACTGAGCGATTGTAAAAACAGAGAAAAAAGTAAATGAAATGAAGATACTAAAAGGTGTATCATATGTAATAAACAAAAAAACCACAAACAGACTTTGAAACAAGAGAGTTTAGGACTTTAAAAGCTTGCTGTTTGTTGTACTTAGATGGTCATAAACACAGGGCAAAAAGTACAAATGCAAACAATGCAGACCTCTCTATGTAAAACTGAAGAAACTGCGAAGAATGCAAAAAAGACATGTATTGCGAACACAGTAAATATAAATTCAGTTGCAGAATTTGCACACTGAGAAAGTGCGAACAACATGGTAGAAATAAGTATCAGTGTAAGGAGTGCCGAACACTAAAACAAAATGAGAAAATATTTTATCTTTATTTATAAAATAAAATACGGTTAGACTGTTAATGAAAAACTTTGTCAGATGGTGTAAATGTACCATAGGATACTACCTTAAGTATCACATTACGCTGCCAATGGGAGCTTAACACACACATCAAGATTACATCGATGCCATACATGCAAACCATATCCTATGTAAAAACTTAACGCTCGAAAACTACTACGAGTTACTGAAAATCGCTCGAGACAATCAGTTGGAGGTCGTTGGCCAGGGCAAAAAAGACTGACTGCTTAGGAAAAACTTTATCGATGCGATTAAAGAGTATATTGCGCCAAACTCGTTAAAGAAGCCTACTTCCAAAACACTACAACATTCAAAAACAATTTTATAAACTGGGAACTCATACCTTGTTTGTCTATTACAGATCATGTGCAATTTTTTTTAACGCATACACACCAAAGATTAAAGCTAAAGTAAACTTTGCATGTAGAAAACTGCCAACCTTTAAACTGCAAGCAGTGTTAAAAGTCAAGTAAATTAAAGTAAGTAATTAAGACTTGGTCACAGAAGAAATTTCATTTGGAAGTAAAATCGACCCGGTGTTAAACAAAGGTGAACTTTACCAACATCAATTTCCCACCCGTGTATCTCTTGTGTAGAAACCCAAAACAATTTCTCCATCAACATGTTTGGATATACAGACAGAGACCAAGTTTTTCCGATACTTGTTAAAAAACTGTTTTTCAGAATTCCCCTGAACTGCTCTGGCTTTTAGACGCACAAACGCTTGCAGTACTTCATACATATTCATTAATTAGTAATTTTTGTTTTCCATTTCACTTCCCAGGGCCAAAGATTTCTTTGCCCACATTTAAATTGACATACTATTTTGTTTGACAATACAGGCTAGGAAGCAGCAGTATCCCTCTTTTATTGTGGAAATTGATACCAAGCTTTGTTTAGTAAGCTGAAGTGCCGATCCCAATACACCCCACTTCTTTACATGAATGTTCACCAGAGTTTCCTTTTAGTATTGAGTGTGATAAAATGTCACTTGTTTTGCATGATAATGAATGTGTGCCCAGTATAAGAGCTAGTTTTGGGTGTGCCCAAGGGGAGCATTTTTGATGATTTTCATGATGACATGTAGCTTGTGGATTGCCAAAGCCGGGCACACATTAACCACTTCCTGCCCAGGACTCCGGAATCGGAGACGTATGGTTTATATGCGTGGCCGGGGTCTCCGAACTTGGACAAAGGAAACATGGCTCTGTAACAAAAGACCGTACTCCGAACAAAAGACCAGGCTGCTGGGCATTACTGACATTTTTCACTCTCAAAAGTGGTGATAATCCAGCCTTGTTTTGAAACCATATACCAGGGTTTGGGGTATTGAGAGCGAGCGGATTACCACCGGGGACAAAAGCGCTCCACCACCGCTGCGATGAGCCACACAGTACCGCTGCACACTAATCTGGCCCCTATTGAAAAGAGGTCAGCAGTGCACTAAGCCAGGTTCGTGAACAAAAGAAAGTTACATAACACCGCACGATCTGGGCTCAGATTCTCAAGCGTCAATGAAGGTCACCTGTCAACTTAGAGTAGTGCCTAAAGATGACTTTGTCCGGCTATAAACGACCGTTAAGTGAAATGATGAATTTCTGTAGGATTTTGAAAACGGAAAAAATGATAGTCATGCCGGCCCAGCATCATCAACATTGAAAAATGCCCTGGCATAAAGTGGTTAAGCCAGTTTGCTACCCTGTTCTGCATCAGAAGCAGACATTTGCAGAACTGCATAAGGCAATTTAGTTAAGCAAATCCAAGAGCGGGCTAGATCAAGCAATCCAGGATTTGAAACGGCGAGAAAACCTTAAGTTAATCCCCGAGTTGTTTCTTTTGACATAAAGATTTAATTAACCCCTTTACAACGGGAATTTCTTTCCGAAAACCGACTCCAAGAATTCCAGCCTCGCTTGGCCACGAAGGCCACCTGCTAAACTGCAAATTCTGCTTTGAATTACACGGTGAAAAGGCTGATTGTTCGGTGTCATGCGACTCCACTCACGCTTCCACATTTCCGTTGCCCCTTTTCAAAGTGGGGACTATTGTGAAGCTGGGGATTATGATGTGTTACAAAAAGAAATTACAAATTTATGAAAGTCATAGACCACTGTCACATGACGGGAAAGTTAGGAGGTGCTGCTCATGTATTTTGCAGTCTCCAGCTCCAGGTTATACTGGGCAAAACACCCAAACAGTGTAGAAAACTACGATGCCCATCTGAGCATGCAAGGCATGGCAAGCTTTACAGGCCACAAATTCTCTTGCATCGCTAAAAACTCTGACAAATATGTGAGTTTTCTTTCAGTCAACAACAATTTATAGAATTGTTTAAGTTTATGGCAATGTAGCCAGACAAGCTAGTTAAAGCCTGCCCCAAAGACTCTTTCACTCTGTTGAGAGAACAATTTTCCCAAAACACCAAACTTTTCTTGCAAAAAAGGTGTTTATCTGTACCAGTACATGGACTCGTTTGATAAATTTCAAGAACCAAAACTTTCCGAGCAGGAAAAATTTTACAGTAGCCTCAAACAAGAAAGCTTGGGCCAAGAAGAATATGCCAGAGCCCGCCAGGTCTGGAAAGCATTTAATTGTATAAACTTGGCCAACTACCACGATTTGTTCATACAGACCGACACGTTGTTACTCACAGGAGTTTTTGAAAACCTTAGATGCATGTGTCATTTGAACTATGGTCTTGATCCGGCTAAATACTACACAGCACTGGGGTTGTTGTGGGATGCTTTATTTCAATAACACAGCAGTATCGAGTTGGAACTGCTGACTTTGGTGGACAAACACTCTGTTTTTGAAGGCAGAAAATGAGGCAGGATATCTTCTGTTCATGGTAAAAGCTACTTTAAAGCTAACAATGGCTATTTACCCAGTTAAAACCCCAAGAAACCAGATTCTTACTTGATGTACTTGGATGCCAATAACTTGTATATGTGTGGTTGGGCTATGAGTCAGCGGTTGCCCTATAGCTACATCTGTTGGATTAACCACTTGCCGCCAGGGTGCCGGTACCAGACACATATTCTTTATAGGGGTGGCCACATATGCAGCAAGGTATTAGACAGAGAGAACCCCCCCC